AAGAAGAAGAAGAAAAAAAAAATGAAAAAAGAGCGCGAGATCCAATTACTTCGATTGTATCGTTCGCTCGCGATTGTACGTGCTCGCTCGCTGCAAATAAACGAATTCGCGTAAAAATTCGCATCATTGAACGCAACGTTCTATTTTCCAGCGTAAAACCGTTTCGCAGTCGGCATTGAAATTAATGATTTACTAACGGACATCTGAGGCAACGGTTAATGTAAATTGGAGCACGGACAGCACTAAAACGATAGCACGAGGACGCTCCGCGGATTCAGGAAATTCGCTCGCTTATTTTATTCAGAGCAGAAAAGGCGCGAAGGGCTAACTTTTGTTTTTACTTTTGTTTTCGCGAGGTCAAATCAAACAAGTAGTAGAACCTCTTTTAACGGTAGAACCACCAAAAATGGCCAAAATGGCTAAAATGGCTAAAATGACCAAAATGGTAAAATGGCCAAAATGGTAAAATGGCCAATTTGTGATTCCTGTTCAGAAATTTTGTAGATGTAAAAACAGCGTATTTTTAGTTAACTTAAATACTTAAATGTAATAATTAAATTACTCACTTGATAACTTAAAATTAATAATTTAAATGCTTGAATTTTTCGTAAAATGTATAAATAGAAGCTGGTGTACTCCATTGTTCTATTTCTTTCACTTTGACGTCTATAATGGCAATTTTCTGTTTTAATTGTCGGTTTGTTCTAGCGTTAATTGAAGACTCGTTCGCGGGATCTTCGTTTTCGCACAAGAACAATCTGATCGCTCACTTTGTTCCGTCAGACTATAATCGACTATAATTCGATGCCTTTAAAACCTAATCAAGTCTTGAATTTTAATACAGGCCGTGTAAAATTACAGGTCGACGTCGCTTTTTTCCCCGCGCAGAATTAGGTGTGAAAGTTAACCTAATTGCTGAGAGAAATTAGCGAGCAAAGCGACGAGCAAAACTGCACATACGTATGGAATTTTCACACAGATTAATAATATTTTATCAAGCATTTGCATGCAGAAAGCAAAACTAGAAAAATAGAAAAATTTGTAAGATATTTTAGCTTTTCCAAGAACATTCTATCGCTGTGTGACTCATCGTCACCGTTTTGCACCGCAATTATGGTAAATGGAAAATTATCGATAATAAAGCAATATAATAAATTTCTGTTTTCACTTGTTCTGAATTTGTTTCTTTTTTCTTCCAACATATTTTAACACCACGTAGCAAATGGAAAAATTTAAAAAAAAAAAATATGGCAAAAATTCAAACGTACGTAACGACACTAAAAAATTTTATGAGCGACTGAATCTATTGTAGTCTTGAAGATTGAAATTTTTCCTCTATAACGAGTCTTTAAAACTTGTTGTAAGATTTTTCTTCGTTATTTCGTTGAACTTCGAACATTAGAATTAAATAACAAAGACTCGAAAAAATCCTAACATTTCG